ATGGTGTAGTTATGATTCAATATTCGATTACATGGTGTTGTATATGATTCAATATTCAATTACATGGTGTAGTATATGATTCAATAGTCAGTTACATAGAGTAGTATATTATTCAATATTTGATGACATGGTGTAGTTATGATTCAATATTCGATTACATGGTGTAGTTATGATTCAATATTCGATTACATGGTGTAGTATATTATTCAATATTCGATGACATGGTGTAGTTATGATTCAATATTTGATGACATGGTGTAGTTATGATTCAATATTCGATTACATGGTGTTGTATATGATTCAATATTCAATTACATGGTGTAGTATATGATTCAATAGTCAATTACATAGTGTAGTATATTATTCAATATTTGATGACATTGTGTAGTTATGATTCAATATTCGATTACATGGTGTAGTTATGATTCAAAATTCGATTACATGGTGTAGTATATTATTCAATATTCGATGACATGGTGTAGTTATGATTCAATATTTGATGACATGGTGTAGTTATGATTCAATATTCGATTACTTGGTGTAGTATATGATTCAATATTCGATTACATGGTGTAGTATATGATTTAATAGTCAATTACATAGTGTAGTATATCATTCAATATTTGATGACATGGTGTAGTTATGATTCAATATGCGATTACATGGTGTAGTATATGATTCAATATTCGATTACATTGTGTAGCATATGATTCAATATTCGATTACATGGTGTAGTATATGAATCAAAATTCGATTACATGGTGTAGTTATAATTCAATATTTGATGACATGGTGCAGTTATGATTCAATATTCGATTAGATGGTGTAGTATATGATTCAATAGTCAATTACATGGTGTAGTATATGATTCAATATTTGATGGCATATTTGTTTAAATGGTGTAGTATATAGTTGGATATTTCTTAAATGTCGTAAAAATTGTCAATTTTAAAGGAAAAATTTAATAATAATAATATAATAATAATAATATAATAATGAGAGGTCATATAAAGCGCGGTACCAACGGATTCCCCAAGAAAAATTCAAACTAGTGAAAATTACGCCCCTGGATGTCAGTGCAGAGGCGGCACTAAGGATGGTGTCATCCGGTGCGGTCCGTAACTCCCCAGTGACGCCACTGCTTTTAGGTATCAGTCATCTACTCTTCTGATCAATTACCATAAGGCCGCCCATGTGAAATGTACGACAGGATTATTCATCAAAGTCAATTTAATGTTTTCTTAATTAAAAAAAAAGATATTTTAACCTCGACAACACAGGCGTTCTTATGTTCTAAAAAGACGCAGTATGCGTAGTTGATAGCCCAATACCCTTCAACATAGTTGATAGCCCAATACCCTTCAGCATAGTTGATAGCCCAATACCCTTCAGCATAGTTGATAGCCCAATACCCTTCAGCATAGTTGATAGCCCAATACCCTTCAGCATAGTTGATACCCCAATACCCTTCAGCATAGTTGATAGCCAAATACCCTTCAGCATAGTTTATAGCCCAATACCCTTCAACATAGTTGATAGCTCAATACCCTTCAGCATAGTTGATACCCCAATACCCTTCAGCATAGTTGATAGCCAAATACCCTTCAGCATAGTTTATAGCCCAATACCCTTCAACATAGTTGATAGCCCAATACCCTTCAGTATAGTTGATAGCTCAATACCCTTCAGCATAGTTGATATCCCAATACCATTCAGCATAGTTTATAGCCCAATACCCTTCAGCATAGTTGATAGCCCAATACCCTTCAGCATAGTTGATAGCCAAATACCCTTCGGTGTTTTTTTTAAATAGTCAATTAACCTTCAGCATAGTTGATATCCAAATACCTTTCGGTGTAGTTGATAGCTAAATATCCTTTTGCGTCGTTGATAGCCCAATACCTTCTGACATAGTTGATATCCAAATAAATTTTGTGTAGCTGATAGCCAAATACCTTTTGGAGTAGTTGATTCCCAATACCTTTTGGCGTAGTTGATAGCCAAATACCTTTTGACATAGTTGATAGCCCAATACCTTTTGGCGTACTTGATAGCCAAATACCTTTTGACATAGTTGATAGCCAAATAAATTGTGTGTAGTTGATAGCCAAATACCTTTTGTCGTAGTTAATAGCCAAATACCTTTTGGCGTAGTTGATTTCCAAATACCCTTTGGCGTCGTTGATAGTCAAACGTCCTTCAGCATAGATGATATACAAATACCTTTTGGCGTAGTAGATAGCCATACACACATTAGTTTAGTTGATAGCACAATGCCTCTTGGTACAGTTGATAGCCAGACACATTTCGGTGTTACTCACCGGTGCGTGAATCCATGAATACTTAACTTGTACTCTTTAAAAGCCTCATAAAAAAACAAACAATGCAGAAATATGCACGTTAATATACCCATCCTAGATAAAACATTCAAAGAAAGATTCACTAAAAAATATAATACTAAATGTAAGAATAACCACGAAAGATCTCACTCGCTAGGTCGACATCTTGTGTTGTACAAACATGAATCTAATCCAATCCAACTTAATGTACCCGTATCTGATAAATTTGGGGAGGGGGTGGGGGAGATGGATAGCCGAGTGGTATAAACTGAACCAATCTCAAGTTAATGGTCTGGAATTCCATCCCCACCAAAGCTCAGTCAAGCAAAAACAACACCAGTACCGCAGGAGGATGAGACTCGTTAACCTTGGATGGATACTCATCTAAGAGAAGGAAACTCTGAATTCAAACCCAAGGGACGGAGTCCCGTAGGCGGATAACATTGGCGCATTGAAACATTCCCACAACTCCTTGGACGCCACTGGTGCCAAGCTGTACCATCCACATGATGCTCTCTTGGGTTATCCAGCGGCGTGGAGAGAAGCGATTTTCTGTTGGAAACCAGCGTAAAATCCTAGAAAAAATAATCCCAATCCATGTGGATTTCGTCCTGCGAAGTCTACACCATTGTCACATTGCGACGGGCTAATGCCAGCAAAATATTTTAAAATAAAAAAAATCTGATATATCTAATACAAATCTAGCCCTATCTTATCTAATATAAGATAATATGAAAAAATAAAATACACTAATACAACATAATATAAAGTAATATAATCTATTATCATTTTATCGCTTTGGGATATTATAAATAAGGTGAGTTAACAATGTTCAAGGGGGAGATTAAGATAACGAGACAGCCAACCAAGACTATCCTACAGCATAGTTACAACAAAAAAATATATATATAAAAAAATCAACAACATAACTACAAGACTTCCTTTCCAATTCTATAGTTTAGCCCCGGGGGACTCCAACCCCCAACATCACCCCCGGAACCAGTGCCATCATTTCTCTATAATTTACAGACAATCCGTGTCGCAGAAATTCGTAGATGGGGAAATGTCTCGTTTCGTCGGATCGAGTCTTCTCACGGGCAAAGCGCCAAAACAACCATTATGACTGCCCCCCAAAGCTATCAGTGGTGTAACGGTTTAGGCTGTATCATTACTTAGAACGCCTGAATACATCAACACGACGACGTCAACACCCGCCAGCAGGTCTGTCACTCTAATTATACCGACCAATGAGATCGTTAAACGGCGAGATCAGTAGCCCTCCAGGTGTCTCTGAAACAGGGAGTCGGAATAATTAAGTCACACCTTTTAGAAAAAAAAAAGTTTACTCCGGGGACAATCTGGCAACCAAATCAGTGTTTGGTTTGTTAACTGAGCGTCAATAATTATAGTTTGGGGCCTTCTGAAGCTGTGCGACTGATTAATAATTAAAGTTAACCGAAAGTCAATTATAACCGTGGAAAAGCCCTTAAGTTTAAAAAAAAAAAAAAGATTTGTCGCATTGAAATTGTTCCTAATTGAGGTCCTTAGCCCAAAGCAGCGTTTCTCAACCTGTGGGTCACGACCCCCTTGTGGGTCGAACGACAATTACACAGTGGTCGCTTAAGAAGATCGGGGGGGGGGGGAAAA